GTATGTATGTATGTATGTATGTATGTATGTATGTATGTATGTATGTATGTATGTATGTAATGTATGTATGTATGTATGTATGTATGTATGTATGTATGTATGTATGTATGTATGTATGTATGTAATGTATGTATGTATGTATGTATGTATGTATGTATGTATATGTATGTATGTATGTATGTATGTATGTATGTATGTATGTATGTATGTATGTATGTATGTATGTATGTATGTATGTATGTATGTATGTATGTATGTATGTATGTATGTATGTATGTATGTATGTATGTATGTATGTATGTATGTATGTATGTATGTATGTATGTATGTATGTATGTATGTATGTATGTATGTATGTATGTATGTATGTAATGTATGTATGTATGTATGTATGTATGTATGTATGTATGTATGTATGTATGTATGTATGTATGTATGTATGTATGTATGTATGTATGTATGTATGTATGTATGTATGTATGTATGTATGTATGTGTATGTATGTATGTATGTATGTATGTATGTATGTATGTATGTATGTATGTATGTATGTATGTATGTATGTATGTATGTATGTATGTATGTATGTATGTATGTATGTATGTATGTATGTATGTAATGTATGTATGTATGTATGTATGTATGTATGTATGTATGTATGTATGTATGTATGTAATGTAATGTAATGTAATGTAATGTAATGTAATGTAATGTAATGTAATGTAATGTAATGTAATGTAATGTAATGTAATGTAATGTAATGTAATGTAATGTAATGTAATGTATGTTATGTTATGTTATGTTATGTAATGTAATGTAATGTAATGTAATGTAATGTAATGTAATGTAATGTAATGTAAATGTAATGTAATGTATGTAATGTAATGTAATGTATGTATGTATGTAATGTAATGTATGTATGTAATGTAATGTAATGTAATGTAATGTAATGTGTAATGTATGTATGTATGTATGTATGTATGTATGTATGTATGTATGTATGTATGTATGTATGTATGTATGTATGTATGTATATGTATGTATGTATGTATGTATGTATGTATGTATGTATGTATGTATGTATGTATGTATGTATGTATGTATGTATGTATGTATGTATGTATGTATGTATGTATGTATGTATGTATGTATGTATGTATGTATGTATGTATGTATGTAATGTAATGTAATGTAATGTAATGTATGTATGTAATGTAATGTAATGTAATGTAATGTAATGTAATGTAATGTAATGTAATGTAATGTAATGTAATGTAATGTAATTATGTATGTATGTATGTATGTATGTATGTAATGTAATGTAATGTAATGTTATGTTATGTTATGTTATGTTATGTTATGTTATGTTATGTTATGTTATGTTATGTTATGTTATGTTATGTTATGTTATGTTATGTTATGTTATGCATGCAACATACATAGACATGCATTTCTCAGGTCTGCGCGCTGCTGAACGGGGCGCGGAAGGCGGGGGCCACCCACGCGCTGCTGGTGATGCCGGTGACGCTGCTGGACCAGCGCCTTGTGGTAGGTTTTGGAGGGCGCTGGGGGTGGGGGGGATGGGGGTGGGGGTGAGGGGGCTCGGGGGTGGGGGAGGGGGCTGAGGTCCTGGAGCATTCCGAGGGGAATTCCAAAAGAGGGATATTCAACGGGGTGGGGATGGCTTGCTCCACTAGGTCAAGGATGTCCCTTATATACACACATGCGTGTTTCTGCAATCAGACTGTGAGTAAACCTTTCTTGAGGGAAAACGATGGTTCTGACAAAGTCTGAATGATAACCCACGCTTCTTCTTGAACGTGCTTCTTGCTCGTTGCAAGCCCAAGTCCAGTGATCTACTGGTAGCACATTGGTATGTACCTGCACTGTCCAGTTTTCCGACCCTTGCCGTTCAGATCCATCCGCCCAGGTGGGGCCGCGAGGCCAGGCTATGGTGCCCAGGTTGGCCCGTGTGCGCCCCCCCGTTAGGGTTGCAGGGCTGAAGGGCCGCGCACCGAACTGAGGGCACGGTTCTTGGGGGGATTGATTACGGGTACATTGGGATTGTTTTGTCTTCAGGAGGGTTTACAGGTTCGCTTTTACTTATTTTTGGATTGGTGTTTATCAGGCACATGCATCCAACGCAGGTTTTGTCCACTGCTGAACTTGCCCATCAGATAGCAGCGTGTGGGTACCATGCATCATGGTTTCCTCACCAAAGGTGAAGAGGGAGGTGTTTGCACATTGGGAACCTTGCTATGAGCGGCGATGCTAACACCATTGTGCTTGGCTCTTGTTGCTTGGAGGTTTGGAGTTGCCAGTTGGCCATTGCGCTTGGCAGCTAGGTCAGCTAGGTGAGCCATTCTGTCCTTGTCCAGCCCGTTTTGGTGGGGTGCAAACGGGGAGGCAAGCTGTCTTGTTGCCACCTTCGGGCTTTCCAGGTGCAGTTTTTGAGATCGTCAGGAGGGCTTTCATGTCGATGGTGCGGGTTGCTGTAGCTCACGGCCATTGTTTTGGGCGAACTTTAACAAGCTCGCCGCCCATATGTGGGAATTATCAAAATTTGCCCATATTGTTGCTTAACATGAGGGATACGCCTCACCTTTTCCCCTAAATTCAAACAGCATGGTCCGTGTCTGTGACGTGGAGCTTCAGCACACACTCTCCTTTTAGATCAGTTTTGGTTGAACATAGCTAGATTGCACGGTGTTTGGTTTCTAATCTCATTTGCCTAGTGGAATCCACACCCCAGCCCCAACTGACCTGCACCCACAAGGTAAAGCACGTTTTCCAGGACCCCGTCAGCTTCCGGGTGGGCGGGGGCGGGGGCTGGCTCCAGGTACGTCTACTACGGCACCGCGGCCCAGCGCGCCAAGGCGCTGCGGGGCTTGCGGCGACCCATGGGAGGCGGGGGGGGGGGGGAGTTCATGGCCAGGAGCAATTGTTTGGGGTTGAGCTCATCAGGGTTCCACTTTTCGACTATTCCAATATGGGGAGTAGTGAAGCATCCCAAGCCGGAGCTCATCCTTTCGGGACCGGGAGCTGCTTTTTTTTGCAGGGTGAGAGACAGATGATTGCCATGGCTTGCTGAGCGCAGAAACGTGACGCTCTCAACACCGCCCTTGAACTGGTGGTGAGCATGAGATCCACCCCTAAAGGCAACTGTGAGAACTCGCAAGCATGCTCACTTTAATTCTCCCGCAAAAGTTATTGAAAGTCGCTTTTCCACAGCGGGTCATTGTACATGCAAGAAGCAGGCGGAGGGCAGGTTGCGCAGAGCCATTTTCGATGCTTTGGATGCCAGCGATACGGGCTGACACGGGAATGTCTCAAAGCCAGGGCCGTTCGACGATTTTTGCATCGCCGCATCTGGCATGAAGGGGCATGAGTTCACAACGAAAACACCCAGTTCATGAAGCTCTCCTTGTAGCACTATTACCGTACTGGAATCGAAGGCATCCACTGCACTTGTGGCTCGGACGCTAGGCGTGTTGTGTCCACCCACCGCGTCGTCCTCCACCCCATCACTGGCCCGTCCGTTGAAAGGATTGCTGCTCACGTCCTACTCCTTGGTGAGCAACTGCGAAGAGCTTTTGCAGGCGACCCGGCTTTGTTTTGGGCGGGAGGGCATGGGCCTCGCAACGCGAGTTGGAGCGACCTATGTGTTTTAGAGGTATGGCCATGGGTCAAAAGCCCGTACCCACAGTGAACATCCCCATCCCCACTAAAATGGACCAACATGGGCGGTGCACCTACCCCAAAATGGTGCCATTGGTTTGGACCCACAGCCGTATCTGAAAAGTCAAAGTTTCAACCCCAACAGCCAGGGCAAGGAGCACCCATCCAGTGTGCTCCAGGGCACCTCAACGGTAGAGTGCACGGTGGGGATGTTGGAGCCGTCATGCCAATCGTCGGCATCTCGTTGAGACAGAAGACCTCAAGGTTGTGGTTGCCTCTTTTCTCATTTCGAGCGCCTTCTTCGTTGATCTCAGCACAACTGGCCTCGTTGTGCGCGAAAAGAGGCGTGTTTTTTTGCTGGGAGCGCAAGGTTCAGGTGGAGGACGTGCCAGAGCCCACGCGGCGGCGCGGCAGGCGGGTGCCAGATGCCCTGAGTTTTGTGATGGCCATGACGGCCATGACGCGCAAACGGACTGGATGGAGTGGCTTGTTTCTTGTTTCCTCAGGGGGGGGCTTTGCAAGACGTGCTACACCCTCGTTCGTTGGAGCCACATCCAAGCACTGATTGAGCACTGATTGAGCACTGATTCGGGCAAGACTTGATGTCGGGTTGCGCCTCTGGCACTGCAATTTTCCATGCTGGTGAAGGGGGGTTGTTTGTCCATGCGTTATGCTTCACTTCCCACATGCACTACAAGTGGCGCCTCCCTATGTAAAATGCTCATAGCGACGAACAGAAACATCTTACAACAAAAATGGTTCACAGAATCAATCCCTCCCCTCCCCCCAAGAAAGGAGCACATACACACAAAGTTTCTTTTGGCGGGGTTGCTCTCCGGAAGAAGCATCCGGGGGAGTGGGACATCGCTCGCGTTTTTCCTGCGGCGCGAGGCCGCCCGGGGAGAAGCCCTCGAAGCGCCGGAAGCTGGACGACGATGACGGGGAGGACAAGGAGGCGGAGTCGGAGGAGGCCAGGGTCGGGTGGGTTTTGGGGATTGCTCGCTTCCTGAGGGGTACGCCATCCATAGAGGGTATGACATGCATTGGGTTTTAACAAGAAGCAATCCCAATGTTTTTTTGTTTTGTTTTTAATCTCACTTCCTGAGTTCATGAACTTTAAACTTTTTGGGAAGACCAATATAAAGTTTTCACTTTTTTTGGGCCATCCACTCAGCCAGTGAGATTGTCTAGGCTGGCTTTAGGGGGTGGGTTTGGTGTGATTTCTTTTGAAGCTTGGTTCAGGGTGATTTTGGGGTTGGTTGGTTGGGGGTGGGCCTTCCCCCCTACGTTGCCCAACCTGACTGGGGTCATGGAAGGCTGTTAGTGGACAGGATCCTAGGGGCTTGACAATGACAAGACTCCAGTGTTCTTCTGGCGGCATGGATCAGCCAGCCATGGATCATTCTATCTTGCCGCGGATCCTCACACTTACGCGTGGCTTTCCCTTCCCCTAACAAGGGCTCCATACTGCGGATGGACGAGATCCATTTCGCAGCACCTAGCAAACCCTGAACGGATTTTTCTGTAGCTTCCAACCAGCGGTTTCAACCATGGATTCCAAGTGGTGCGATTTCTGGATCCCGCCACCACGGGTTTCACGGGCTCCACGGGCTCCAAGGGTTCCAAGGGTTCCAAGGGCTCCAGCCAAGGAGCAGGAGCCAGAGGCGCCCGGCGGCGAGCTGCCGGTGGTGGGCAGCACCAGGCGCCTCGGTTTCCCTCGGAATCTGCTCGGAAGAGTCTGGGGTAAAAGATCTGATGGCCTTTGAATAGTGGGTTGTTGAGTTCCTTGTAGTGGTGTGTCCTTGAGGGAATTTGGGGAGAGAGCTGTGTTTCCACTACGGAGCGGGGCCAGGGGCTTATCCTTGCTGCGCTCCGATAGCCATCTTGGTGCAATTGCTTCTTGCGATCAGGAAAATACCGCCACCAAAATGAGGAGAACACCGGTCAAGTGCTTTCAAAATCCGGGGAACACCGGCACCAAGATGATACACACACACCCGGTCAAGTGCTGCATTTTCGGTCAACGGCATGCATCAAACCTGTAGCAAAGGCAGGTCTAGTTTGGCTTTATACAATTGCAACCTCCAGAAGAAAGACTGCCAGCGCAACTTGCAAACAGACCCTTGCAGCCTCGCATCACGATAGCTCTCCCAAGCACACGGGGACTAGGGACCGTTGAACAAACCGTATGTTCGCATATAGTCCCCCGCATCACCCCAGGCGATGTTTAAAGCCCATCAGTTGATCCAGTTAATGTTGACCCCGGATTCATAACCTTCTGGTTGACTTATAGTGTGCCCCCGTTCAGTGGCTCTTCATCACTTTTGGAGCGGCTCCCCGCTATCTGGGGTCAACACAGTGATCGGATTGGCCCAAGCCACGCACCAGGCCCTGGGACCTGGTGATTTGCGATGAGGCACACAGGCGAAACGGGATCAAGATGACAAATTCACAACTTGCTTTGAAACGGGAAACAGCAGGCACATCCAGACACTCGTTCTTTGGGTCTGCCTTTTTGTTTTGACATATTAGATATGTACGGGGACCGGGACCGCAAACATCCCTGGTGCCGCTCGCAATGGCCGATCAATTGATTCAAGTTATTTAGGTTATTTAGATATCACTGAGGCATTAGCCGGCAAGGCCCTAGCTCTGAATTAACAATCACAACCTTCTTGAGCTGGTGCAAAGTCGCAGCTCCTATGGTTGGGACTGGGCTGCCAGGTCTTCAGGAGTCTGCTGCCATCCTTTGCAGAACTCAGAAGATTTCGGAGGATTGTTGGTTCCTGGGTTACTCGCTTCTTGCGGTTTCCTTACCAACAGTTGCAGGGAACTTTTTCACCTGCCAATGGTTGCTTGGTTGCTTTGGGGGATGTGTTATGATGTGTTCGAGGTCTACGATTTGAACAGCGCCCCTCCTGCCTGGTTTTGGGTCTGTGCAAACCTTGACAACAAACCGGACAGACCTGTATCTCAGCGGGTTGTCAGCACTGCTCCTGCTTTTGCACGCGGCTCGAAATTTGACAGGTCGGGCGTGTAAGGGACCAAAGAACACCCGGCGGATGTCGCTGGGTTCGCCTGGCTTTCACCCTGTTCTTTTGATTGCGACACCACCTCGAATCGGCAGTGATGCTGAGATTCCATGAAGCACCCTTGAATGACTCCCATGTGCGCAGCTCAGGGCTCAGGCCATCACCTTAAGCCCAAACGGCCAGGGATGTCGAGCAAAACAGTTCAAGGGGGCTGACCAATCTTTTCGAGGGTGGAGCCACCTGGGCCGAAACGCGAAAGGTTTCCAAATATACATGCATTCTTCCCAAGTATCAGGTCGGCTGAAAATAGACGGAATAGGTTTCAGCTTGGTTTCGAGCCATTTGCCCGTGGAATCCGTCTACGTTCCCAAAGCTACGCCCGTCTCGGCACGGCGCTCGATCGCCAGGATGAAGAACATGTCCTCGTTGCTGGCCAAGAGCCTGCGCAAGCTGAAATCCAACAGCCGCCGCTTGCGCCGCATTTCTTCTGGGCGCTATTTGTCTGAACGGGCGCGCCGATCTGCAGGTAGAACCCATGAAGTCCTTTACGGCAATTTGCCAAGATTTCTCGGAACACGGATTTGAGCCGTGCCGTATAGTGCCAGGTGTGTTGGCAAGCACCCTTCGATTTGCCTTGGTTTTTGCTCTGTTGTTTCGCAAGAAACACCCAAACAATCACATGCGTGATGGCACAAATCCCGCGGAAGCTGATTCATGCCGTTTGACTCGCAAGCTGAAGAGCTCTGTTTTGAATCGACTGAAGTCCAAGATGGGAGCGCAGATAATCCGTCGACCGATCCTATCTTCATGTTGAACCGTCGTTGCATATGTCACGTTTGTGATGCAGGCCTTCTCCTTACTGGCACGCCGGTTCAGAACGCCTTGCAGGAGATGGGGCCGTGGGCTTCCCGGGGTGGGGCAGCTTGCAACGGCCGCAAGGGCCATGCTTTCGGAAGCTGATAGGTCACATGGAAGGCAAAGTGCAGCCCCCCTTCCTTGAAGAGTGCCAATAGTCATTTGGAGCCGCTTTAGTGGAAGGGGGGGGGGATCTAGGGGGCGGTCTGGGTGGATTTGGACTTGCCATACTCGAGTTAGTGTCAGTGTTGCCAAGTCTAAATTGTGTATTGCCAATACTTAATCTCAGATTCCCAGAACTTAGTTGGGTATTGCCAAATCTAGTTTGGTGTTGCTTGCGGTTCCTTGCCGTTTTTTTTTTTTTTTTTTTGGGGGGGGGGGGGGGGGGCGGGGCAGGCAATACATGCCATGATAGAGGCTGCCAACACAGTTGTTAGCCAAGATGAGGCCCGCACAATGTGTTGCAGAGATGGTAGGCATCGCTTTGTTGCAGGCTGTTCAGTTTGCTGGTTGCACAAGAATGACATATTGTATTGGGTGTTCACGGGTGTTCCCTGATGTAGGCCAAATGCTCATAATTAGCTCAGCCAAGCTATGGATAAGCCGACTCTAGCCCAGCACAAATAGTCCAGCCCATGTATGCATCAATTGTATAGCGAGATTTTACTTATCTCCCCTGAAACAAGCATGATGGAAACATGCCTCCATGACATTTTGCGCCATGAACGATGTGGTCCGAATTGGGAAGAGGTTTTCGCTAGTTTGAGGTGGTATAGCGATGCTCCGTCAAGAGACTGAGACAACATGCAAAGCGCAATGCAGCATGACCACATGTACGAGCCGGACGTTCCTTGAGTCGACCGGCGCCACGACCGGAGGACCTTTGGGCGCTCATGGACTTTGCGCAGCCGGGGCTGCTAGGAAACCATGCCACGCCCTGCTGGCACCTTTGGCCGGCGATTTTTTGGTGCGAGGTTCGGTTCTCTATTGGGACAATTCAGAGATCTATGGATGCTTCCTGCCTACGGTGTTTGACCAGGGAAGGCGAAAAGGGGCTCATGCGCTTGACGCAAGCATTGGGCAGGCCTCCGCTTCATGAAACGGATGAAACGGTGTTTGGTGGCGGGTTTGGGCCATATTCGCATGTTTGTGTGTGTGTGTGATTCGAATGCCTTTCGTTGGTGACAAAATCGGCAATTGCGAGTGTGGTTCAGCTCCTTCGCCATCCTTCTCTTGAAACCCTCTAAGCCGACTCCCTTGCCGTGATTAGTTTCCCAGTAGAACCATTGAACATTTTGACTCTCGAGAAGGGAACTGAGCTGCAATTTTCTTGTGCACCACACATGCCATCAGTTTTTGGTCAAGGCGGCCATCCATCGTGAGAAGAAACCGCAAAGTGTGGCACCCAGTGGAGGGTTTGGAGACCCGAATGGCACTCTGAGCTCCACGCCGCCCGCCGCATGGCAGGTTCGTGAAGACCTTCAGCGAGCCCATCGACAGGGGCAGCGTGCGGGGTGCCAAGGCGGGGGCTTTCGACTCCGGAGGAATCCGCCTGGTGGACCAATGGGCAGTTCCCCCCAAGTGAAGATTCCACCAACAATGGGACACCCTATCAACAAAAGTGGGACACACCCTGTCAACTAGGGATTGACTAATCCAGGATCAATGTTGGGAAGAATCTTTGGTTGTCATGTGGGCTGTTCAAGAGACATCCCAACGATCCTTCCTGTGAACCATGCGAATATTTGTGCCATTAGTTGCTCGGGCGGCCCAGTCTTTTTTCTTATCATGCTGTTTTGAGCCCATGCTTTTTGAACGGCCTAGAGACTCATGGAGTTTGCTCTCCTATTGGAGCCTCACAGCTGAACTGTACATGGTGGTATGGTTTTCTTTGAGAAGGCGAACCGGACACATTTCTTTCAAACGTCGAACAGCTTTGTGTCCGAGGGTTTCCCATAGAGCGCGCTTTTGGACTCGCCGGATTGCCAAATGGCCGTGGGTCAAAACCAATGGTACCCATTTTGGTAGGTGAATTCACCACCCATTTTAGGTTTCCTATTTTGGTACCATTTTGGGGTAGGTGCACCACCCATTTTAGAACCTATTTTAGTGGTTGGATTGGTTGATGTTCACCGGGGGTACGATTTGGATTTGACCCACAGCGGAATTCGGCCACTACTCCGCTTCGCCAGGTCTGGGCGGTGGAGCTGAAGAAGCACCTGGCGGAGCAGCTGAGGGCGGGGGGGGGGGGTGAACGGCAGATGAGCATGGTGTCAAAATTAAAGCACCAGGAGTCGGACCGCAGGTTTTGGTCCATGTTTCCATTTACCAGGGCAAGCCATTTTGGGGTTACCTTATTTTTGACCCACAGCCAGATGGCTTGGGGTGGCGGGCGGCAGCCCTGGCTGTGTTGCCATCGCCTCTTTTGCCACCGCAAGCCGGGCCACTTCTGAGGCTTGGAAACGAGTAGGGATTCGAATGCAACTTCAGCGCTGCGAGGAACTGAACGTTCATGCCCAGTTTACAGTGACGAATCAGGGGCCAACGGCGCCCGGTGATGCTTGAGATGTTGACCTGTCGTTCCCTCGGGCCACTCCACAGTCTGTGCCCAGGCGCTGATTAGCCCCCACCTCCTTCGGCGCACCAAGACGAGTACCGGTATGGGAGGCGAGGGGGAGGGGGGATGGGTGGAGGGGAGGGAAGTTTCAACTAAATGTCACGTCAACTCACCGGGGTGATGCACCCTCTAAAGTGACGCAGCGCCCCGAGAGTGCCAGGACCTTTTGGGGGAACCCACCCAATGGCCCCATGCTTTTCTCGGGGAAACACGTCCAACGTCTTGTGCGGAGCTCGAAGACGTCGATTCCGACGGCGGCCGCCAGGCGAAGGTCCGGATGTCGTGGAGGATGTGGAGATGGAGGCCGGGCGAGTTGTTTGGCCTGCGTGAAGCTGGGAGCCAAACAGCGCATGAGTTCTCTGGTCCCCTACCTCCATTTGCTTAAGATTTTGTTTTTCCACTGCTTTTTGTGAATTGGAGGTGGTTCGATGAGGGTCGGCCTTGGATTGCATTGAAAGGTCGGTCAAGTCCAAGTTATTGGCTTCAATATTGGGGCACCCCGAGACTGGGCGTCGCTTGCAGCCAAAGTCTGCGCCCGCTCCTTGAGGGCAGCGTCTGTAGGTGCAAAGGTCACAACACCTTTGAGGGATGGTCATAGACTCCTTCCGGGAGTTGCTTCAGCAGAAACAAGGTTCCGGATAAATTCATGGTTATGATTATCGTCATTGGTCATGGTCACTCCTTGAAGGTTTTTGCCGGCGCATCCGGCAACACCAGCTGCGTTGCGGCTCGTTCGACTCGAGGACAATGCGGAGGATGTGGAAGGAGCCAATAACTCAGATGTCAGAAGGGCTGGGAGCTCTGGGAAGGTGGTTGCAAGACTTGAAAGCAGACCCGCTCAAGTGTTTGCTTAGCCTCTGGACAAAGATAGCAACAGGGTGGTTCCTCCCTTCAAGAAGAAGCATTTCCGATTTTTCAGGTACCCTCCCGGTGCGAAGTGCTTGTAGGAGGGGTAAATCGTGGGTTTCAAATCGGTGAGCGGACCAACTCAATTAAACCGGACTGGGGCCGCTGCAATTTTCTTCGAACCAGGGCAGCCGGCGCCTCGCTGGCCGGTGTTTCGAGGCGGTGAAGAAGCTGCCGCCCAAGAAGGAGACCCTTGCCGGGCGCCCCCAGTTCCAAAATGGCTGTGGGTCAAAACCCTGTGCCCCTGGTGAACATCAAAACAGGAAGTACATGGGTGTTAATGTGCCCCAAAATGGAGGCATAGGTTATGACCCATGGCCATCCAGACCCATGCGACATGGGTGGGGGAACGTCGAATGCGTCTGGCATTCGGCACGTGGCTGGCGGGTTTCGCAGCGGCGATGCATTGGGCGATCCACTGGCTGGTTTTGATGCATGGCTCAAGGTGTCGAGTCTGTCTTGCTTTGGTTCTGCCTTTGGTAACGTGTGATGGTGTTCTACGGCAATCTGGGTATGGGTCAAAGTTGAACCAGGGGACTGCGGGTTTGAGTCCACGTTTCTGTTTGCCAGGGCAAGCCATGCTTTGGAGTGACCCGATTTTTGAGCGCCGCCGAATCTGAGGTGTGGCTGCATCCCAGCGAGCAGCAGGTGGCCATGTACAAGAAGGCCACGCGTGTTGCTCCATTCCAGGGGTCCTTGGAAGCCACCAACATGGTCCAAAGCCAAAGATGTGGGAACATTTGCAACATACCTATGCATAAGTCGGAAGCATCCTTTCATCTCGTCTCAAAATCGGGGTAAACCCCTTTTATTGGTGGCGGATTTTCGCTTGAAACGCCCCCAATATCACCCGGAAAAGGGTGCCTGCCTCCAAAAACCTGGTTGGTTTCTTGTTGGATTCCCTTTGCAACCAGCCCCGGTTTAGGGTTTTGGGCACCAACCATTTTGCACCTCGCCTCACCTGAGGTGCTGGAGAACAGCGAGGTGATCCGGGAGGCATGCCACAAGTCCAAGCTGGGCATCGAGGCGGAGGGCTCGGCAACGCGAGAAAACGCTCGGCGGGAAGAGAGGGTGGGGTGATGATCTCACTTGTATGATTTTGAATTAGGGACCCTTGGGTGGACCTCATGTAGGTGGGGATTTATGTCCACCAAGGACTTTTCGGGGGGTTCCCCATTAAAATTCACAGCCACTGCCTGAGTTCCTGGACTTTGCGCAACTTTTTGAGAAGTAGTGGTGAAAAATAGTTCGGACTGTTTTGACTGATCCACTCAGTGGGCATTTGGGGGTCCCTAATTTTGGGACAAAGGCAAATGCCTACAGCTCTTTGGCTCATCATCAAGCTCTTGTGAAACGTTGACAGCTAAAGGTGCTGGTGCCTTCTCACCTCATACCGGTACTGCGCAAGTGGAGTTGCTGTAGAGAGTCACGGATGGATATGTTGAGACACCTTCTGGCAAGAAGCTTTTTTCACAGAAAGGCGAAGGAGGTACCATCGATACTTGAGAAACCACCTATCCGATCAGAAATCGGAGTTGAAGGAAACCGGGGGGGGGGGGGGCTCGTTGTTGACAATCGCTGCAGAGAGGATACTTCTTGGTCAGCGCCAAGACAAACTTGCCGGGCTTTTTTTTTGCGGTCGTCGGCCGCGGAGCACGAGATCTGTGGGAAATGATGCCATGGTGCCACCGGGGCTTGAAGCCACGGCCATGAAGCAACCCATGCCGCCCTTGCCCGTGGCCACCGTGATAGCACCTGGTGACATGCCGGTGGTGGCAAAAGTGGAAGTAGAAGGACCCCGCATTTCAACCGCATAAAAGGAGGAAGCAAGCAAGAACGAGGGCGCTTCAATGATCTTGAGATGCAGCAAGGCCATTGACCATCGCCGGCCATCGCTGAAGAACGGCGAGCTGCCCGCGTGGGCAGCTCCTTGGTCCCTGTCCAAGTCGTGGTTGCGCAACGGAAATATGTAGAAGGCTCGTGTGCCAGGGTGAAAGCAGCCTTCCGCTTGGGTTGGTATGGCCATGTACCTATCGACCTAGGCAACCATAAGGCCCAACGGAAATCTGAAGGAGTCTTTTTCGATGGGCCACCGCGCTTGAACGTCAAAAGGTTGTCGCCGCATTTTGAGTGAGAACCGCCCCAGCGAGGTTGGCGGACAATCCCCAAGTCATGTCCACCGGGGCCCATGCGCCAGGTCTTCCGCGCCATCGGCCTCCTGAAGCGGCTCTGCAACCACCCGCTGCTGCTGTTGCCGCGGCCCACGGAGAGCTCTGGGAAGGGGCTGCAGATCCTCCCCTTGAAAGGGAAAGCAGGGACTGACTTGGCGGGTGTTCGTTGGGTGTTTGACGATGTTGGGTAAGAACCGGCCCCAAACTTGCCGTAGAACCAGGGCTCTCCCCATGTTCGGATGCCCTCTTGGGGAAGAATTCATAATGAATGCTTGTCGTGTCGAGTGCTTTTGGATTGTTCATCCTTTCAGCGGGACTCCCTTGTTTTCCCTTCACTCAGACACCAATTTGGGGGTCCCCTAAACATACTACCTCACACACACACACACTCGCACTCCTCGGGAAGATTAACGTGGTCAAGTTTGGAGGTGTGTTTTGGGGTGGTGTGTTGGGGTGGTAGGAGCCGCTTTTCGGATCCGTGATCTGGCCAACCCCACCCACCTGACTGGACATTCTTCCTGCACGGCTTGTTTAAGCTTACGTGTTGGTTTGCCGGCGGCCCCATCAGCTTTTAGCCCACCCATGTTAGCGTTGGCTTGATGGGAAGGGAACCGTTGCGAGCCCATGCCTTTTGCGGAACCGTTTTGTGAACTGTTCTGGTTGGGGGGGGGGAAGCTGCATGAAACAGATCTTCTTGCCCCCATGGTTTCAGCCAGGAAAATTCGTGAGCGCCCCAAATTCTCATTACATACTTCCCGCCTAATGGGACACCTTGGTCACCCCTCGGGGTGTCCTGTCTCGGAGTCGTCCCAAGTCCGAGGCGCCTGCCGAAGGTGAAGGACTGGGCTGAGTTGCTGAAGGAGGCACCGGGCTTGGGCAAGCCGCGTTTCGGGCTTCGGCCGGTGCGGCGGGTGCCCACGAAAGGAACCGCCTGGAATGGCCAGTTTCATTTTGGACCCTTTGCAGGCTCCGTGTTTGGTGTTGGAGGACGTGTGTCTGAATGAGGGAATGGTGAAAATGGGTGGTTTCGGTTTGGTGGTTCGCCTTTGAAAGCCCAAGAGGGGTACCCTCAACAAACACCCTCATGTGTCAAGGGCCAAAATTTGAAGAAGCGATAGGGCACTGGTCGAATTGGAGGGGCCCTAGTTTTGATCCACCAGAAGTCCGGATCTTGGTTTTTTTTGAATTTCGGAGGGTTTTGTGGCAGGTGCAGCCGTTCTTCTGTAGCTTCTCTCGGAGGCTTATTTTACTTTTTGCATTTACTTGGATGTTAGGACTTTAACTTTTTGCCAACTAGTGGGTTTTCCGTATTAAACCACTAAAATTTAGTCACTTGTAGCAGGGGAGCAGAAAGCAACGAAGTTTAGAGATCATTTCCGTAGCAATCGGCTGTAGCGCCTGAGGGTCGTGGCCTCCCGTTCAGTCCTCTCCAGCATCCATGGATCTCCGGAGATCCGGTGCAAGCGAAGGATCGGACTTTTGCTCTCAACCTTTTGGCAAAAGATTGGAGAATCCCAAGCACCAGCCAAACCACTTTGGTTGGTTGCATGGGAAGGACTTCAATCCAGAAGAAGGCGCTCATTTGTGAGCAACGGCTGAAGAGAACAGGCTGCAGGGTAGCAAAGAACACTCCAACAAGACAGCCTCCTTTTGGCCATCGGCTTTCAACCCATTGCCATAGGTGTCCTTTTGGTTGTTTTGGTAGAAAAATAGATGGCCCTGGTTTACCTGGTGGTTTAATCATCTACCAGGGCCATCTATTTCCCCTAAAAGGACACGTTTCAACCTCTGTTGTTGTTCTCCAAGCACTTTGGAGTTTTTGCAGGCCAAGGACATGGTTGCCGTTGCCCCGGTTTACACAGGGGCCACTTCCGTGCCAAGGGAAATCACGCGAGAAAAAGCCCCGAGGTGCAAGAAGCCGAGGCGCGGGGAAACCGGGATCTGGGGGTATGTATAGAGGGAGGGGGACCGCAAAATGTCCGGTTTTGCTTTTGATTTCCCTTTGAGCCGCTGTGCAAACTTCGCCAATGCTGGGTTGGGGGGGGCATTTCCGTCTCTGAAGAACTCGGTTCTGGGGAGTTGGGGAAGCCTCATTCCGTTGGGATACTCCTTGGCCGTATTTTGACGGGCAACCCACGTGTGAGCTTGTTCGGGGTGGGGTCGAGGGGTCAGTCCCTTCAACAAGCCGCAGGAGTTCCCTCCCAGTGTTTCGGACACCAACAGCAATTTGGGGAACACACTTGTTGGAATGAGCCAGGAACATGTGTGCACAAGGAGAGAACGCAGGCTCAACCCCAGGTTTTAAGACCCATCTAGTTGCACATAGTCTAGGTGCTTTTTCGGTCAACTGGCTTGAGTTTGGTGGAATGTTCTCATTTACCAGTGGAATCCATCTATTTTCAGTCCAAGTGGTCACCTCGGTCGGTGATTCTTTGCCAGAAGTGCAAACAAACAGCAACAGACATGGCAGTTGTTGCATCTGTGCATTTGCTGGCCTTCTCGGCTGACATGCCAAAGCAAAAGGCATGCTGCAAGTGGTCCTGGAATGTTCTGCCGCGCATTCGGGGAAAGCTCCACGAGAAGGTTGCATCAGGTGAACAGTCAAGAGGGAGGCACTGGGCCAAGGAGCCAATAGTTGAATGATTTGAAGGCTTGCTGATTCCAGGCTTTTTGACCGCCACGATGTGGCTCGCGGTTGAGACGTTTGCATCTTCACTTCCGTTCCAAGGGATTTGTTCCCTCAGGACATTGAGGACGCAGGTGCCAAGCCCACGGTGCCTGTTGCTACGTTTGTGTAAAAGACGGTGTTTCCTCGGGTCCAAAGTCGAGAAGTTGGTTCGGGTCCAAAGCCATCGAGAACTCAGGCCGAGTTGTCGGACCCAGAGGACAAGGCCGGTGAAGCGACTGGATGCCCTAAACAGTCTGCGCCGGAGCCCTTCTAAAAAACTAGTCTTTTGCTGAATTGCTTTGAAGCAAGAAGCGGTCTATCTACAGGGGCTTGCCTGATGAGGAACCAGCTGCGCGAGGCAGTGTCTTTAATAGCCAAGACCCCAAGATCCCCAAAGCCTTCACCTGTCTGAGTTTTTGGGCAGGAGTCGACGCCCGACGGGCGCTCAGCGGTCTCCGACCAAACTGAGGGCTTGCGGGGCAGCTTGGGTTGCCACTGGAGCTTTAAGACTTCTGTTTGTGATTCACAATCAAAACCCGGGTAAGTGAAGGTTAGGTAAGGAACAGTCCCAACCATATATAGTTTCGGCCGCCTTCTTCATTCTTTACATGGTTTTGGGTCCACCGTTTTAATACCAGGTTTTGATTGTCACTCAGGTGGGTCAAAGTGATCCCCAGAAGCTGTGAAGGAAGACATGCGAAATACAAAGTCCTGAGCCCTAAGGCTCAAGATGTAGCGTTGATCATGATCTCCATGTCCTTAGCTGTTGTGAGTTGGTGACTTGAGGCTCGAGACCAGCCCAAGACTTGAGTGCACTTGTCGCGCGTTCCTATCGTGGTTCCGCACCCAGCGCCCACAACTGGTGCGAAGTTGATTTCGTCCATCATGGCTGGCGCTCCTGCTCCGCGAAAAGAGTCCTTCCGCTGATTCGCCTGAGGCTCCTTCCGAGACGTCGGCAGATGTGGCGGAGGCGTCGCGGATTTGAAATTAGACGTCAACGGACTTGGCAAGCGCAAATGCTTTCATTGTCTCAAGTGAGATCCGCTTTCCCCGCCATACTTTCGGCCGCCTTGGAACCATTTTTACCTGTACTCGGGGGTCTAAATGCCTGGGTAGGTGAAGCAAATAGTTGAGGGAATCCTGCCTCTTGATTGTTGCTGAACCACCAATTTGCATGAAACCTGACGTTCGGGAGGTCCTGGTTTGGACCATTTTCCTTGTAAAGGCGAAAAGGGTGGGAGGGTACATGGGTTTGGGTCGACTTTCTGTGTAGGTTTGCTTTGCGAGTCTCCCCTGGTCCTCCATGCTCTGAGTCTTAGGAGGAGTGCCGGGACGTCGAGGCGATGCTCAAGACGCTGCCAAGGGCTCATCCTCGGGAAGATCCCCCCCTGGTTGCCTTGGGTTCTCGACGGAAATGTGGAAATGGGTGGAAAATATGAACCGCAGGTTGTAGCCAACTGTTTGGCAGGGCAAGCCATTTTGGGGTTACTCAATTTTGACCAGCCAAATGACCTTGCAACCTTTTGGAAATGGCTGTTTCAGAAAGTTTGGCTTTGTGGAGGGGGTCAAAGACCGACCCGGCTTTTGGCGTTATTGAAAAAACCGACTTGGGGTGTTAGGTTGGCTTGGAGACGGTGTCAGGCATCATTACGCGTTTTTGTGCGAAATCCAGGTACATGGGTGTGTTTGTTTGGGACCCCCGTCAAAGGGCTTTTTGAAGGCAAGCCAAAGGATTCGAATTCCATGTTGGGGGGGTTGGTTTGAGAGCCCAACTGCGGCTTCGTGAAAAGTTGAGGCCCTTGGGCATGAGTCGGTCGGCATTTGGTGCACGTTTGCCTCAGGTCTCACTCCAAGGAGGAGCGGGGAGTGCAAAAGGTCAAGCTGGCTCTTGGTTCACTTCCTCCAATGGACTTTGCCACTTGGGAAGACAAGTTAGTTTTTTTTTCAAGAATAGTTTGCACTTTTCATGACCAATCCAGCCAGGCAGCTGTTGGGGCTGTTGGGGTTGGAGACGCCATGAGTCGATGCAACAGCATTTGGACGACATCCACCGCAAAACGAAGGCATCAAAAAGCAGGAGTCCTCTTGGGAGGGGTTTTCTTATTGGTCTTGCCTGAACTGGCTTTTGTCTCAAGCTAGACCCCACAAACGAGCTTTGGTGTCCCCCATAAAAGGCACTCATTCGCCTTCAAGAGCAGTCAGGATCTGGCTGCTTGAACGAATTGTGCCCAACCCGGCCCCAACTCCCAGCAAGATCATCAAACTACACCCAACACCCAGGTAATCACTTCGGAATGACACGAAGACAACACGTGCCACACGCCCTTTTCGCTGGCCCCCTGATCCTTCGGCCGGCGAGAACGGTCGGTTCACAGGACGTGCTGCAGCAGAGCGCCAAGCTCCAGTGCCTCAGCCGCCTGCTGCCGGAGCTGGCGCAGCGAGGCGCGGGAATGGCATGCCGCAGGCAGCAGGGTGACATTTTCTGGGCAAAAACGGCCCCTTTGAAGGAAATCAACCCATACAGTCGATGTAACAACCATGGAACCCAGCAGAGAGGTCTGGAACTTCCTTTGGTTTGTATAATGAAGCACCCTAGGAGAAGAGCTGGGACCAGTGAATAAAACCACCATTCCCGGCTGATCTTATTGGACCTCAGCAGGTGGTTCAGGAATCCTGTTAATAGGAGCCCAGGAATTTGGTATTAGATCACATCAATAGGTATCCGCTTTTTTGTTGTCCCAGTTTTTCTTCTTGGAATTTACTAGGGCTGGGTTGGTTGGTTGGTTGGTTGGTTGGTTGGTTGGTTGGTTGGTTGGTTGGTTGGTTGGTTGGTTGGTTGGTTGGTTGGTTGGTTGGTTGGTTGGTTGGTTGGTTGGTTGGTTGGTTGGTTGGTTGGTTGGTTGGTTGGGGGGCTGGTTTAAGTTCAGGGTGGTTTAGGTGGGTCTTGTGGTGGTTTGGGGTTGATTTAGGGCTGACATCCAGGCTGCTGTTGGGCGGGTTTAGGGTTGACTTTGGGTGGATTTGGGGTTGACTTGGAGCTGATTTGCGTTGGGCGTGCTGCTGCAAAAACAGGCCTTTATGGTTGGTTTTTCTGATGTGCTTACGGGAGTTTTGGTCTCATTTAGCACGCAACAACATTCCGACAGCAACCCGTTGAAGAGGGAATGCTTCACCTTCATGATGATGGGGTGATCACGTCATTGAGCTGGGACTCTGGGTGGCCAACATTTGAGTGTGGCTCAAAATTAAAGAGGAGGGGGTTACGCAGGTTGTGGTCCATGTTTCCACTTACCAGGGTTCCATGTTGGTACCGGTTTTTTGAGCCACAGCCATTCGGGCAATCACGCCATAGTGCGAAGTCCCGAGCAACCCAAAGAAGTGCAAATCGAGGCCAGGGTGGGGTGACATGGCGGGTTACTGGAGCTTGGCGCGTGCACATGAAGACAAGGCCCCAGACACACTGGCCGAAACAATCCCTATCAGCCTGAACAAACACTCGATAATTCTTTGATCTGGGTAAATGTCTTATAAGTTTCCGCGCCTGGAAAAAGACAAAGCAACTGTGATTGTGTGGGTCGCAAATCGAAACCCCATGCCAGTTCGCTGGAACTTGCTCAGCTTAATGCCCACTTGTGACCATGAACAAATACCTCCCATTACAAAAATAACAGAATGGACTCATAGACTCATGAACAAACAGACTTAGAATCTAAGGCTTAGAATCTAAGAACTTGGAATTACGTGGGAAGGCGCATGAAGGCCAGCCCCACCAAGTCTCTACTTTGGCACTTGCTCTTGGACGCCTGGGTTCTGAGCCGCAGGCCATCGGACCCTGGTGTTCTCACAGAGCGCCCGGCACCCCGAGCCGAGAAGCGGAAGGGCCCTTCCAATCAAAGCAGAACGGAGGGTTTAGAAGACTGCCCATCGTCTAGGTCCTTTTTAGGTTGGTTGAAGATTGATATGCACTGGTTTAGATGGTTTCAGGGCCATCCATTTCTCCAAAAAGGCTGAGACGGCAATCCTCTCGAAAGGGCCCCGACCGTCCACTTTGCTTGTTGGACACGGGTCCACCGGATGGACCATCGAGCGGGAGGTTGGGGGTCGTCCAAGGGTGGTTTTAGGCAGAGGCCAACGTTCTCCGCTTCAGAGATTTGCTGAAGTGGATGGAAGTCCGCTGTCCGCAATCATATTGACTGCCCACTGAGTAGCTCAGTGGCAGGCTAGCATTTAATGGTTGTCAAGCTTTTTGGCCATCCGCAGGCCGCTGTACATACTGTAGATTGTACATTGACCCTACACAGCGGCGGAAATGGCAACGTTTTACTTCAGAAACCATGCTTGTGCGGGATCCTCATTTCTGCTTTCTGGCTGAGAGCCATCGACGGCGTGTTGCTGGCTTCAACATCGAACATGGGCATTTGCATGTCACCGTGTCACCCCGCATATTGTTTTCCGGCTTGAGGCTTCGCAGGTCATGTCAGCACGTGCGAGGTGAAGATGCTGGACCTGATCCAGATATGCTGCCTGAGGCCCAATGGCGGTTGCCTCAGTGGGCTTCATAGCGTTGGGTTCCCGGGGGTTGGGCCTTACGTGGCTGAACTAGCGACGACTTCGGCTTTGACATGGTTTGCAGAATCATGTTAGACTTAAGAGAGCCCATACCATCGCCCGACTAGCACCGGCGGATTGGGGCTTAAAGGGGCTCTATGTGATTTTTGTTGAATGCGCATGATGGAAGCCGTCACAAGTATCTTAATAGGATTCAGGCGAGTTTTGTGCTTGGTTTTCACGTGCGAGCGACTGACAAGTCCCATTTGGGATTGGTTTGAAGGAGCAACAAAGGAATGCCACAGCTTTGGGAGTGAACATCCCCATTTTGAACTGCCCTGGTGGGAAGGCAAGGTGTGTCTTTTGTCAGGCAAGAACCAAAAGAGCAAAAGGACGCCATGCATGCGAGTTCATTTGAGGCGGCCAAGGTTGGTTCACAATCAATCCTTTTTGCCCGACCAAGCCCGCTTAACCCCAACGGGAGGTTGTGTGAACCATAGCAACCAACATGGCCTCCCGCGCCGACCTTCGAGGCCTGCGGTGCCTCCGCATCGACGGCCTCACGGAGGCGCAGGCGCGCGCGGAGAAGGCGCGGGAGTTGGGCAGCCGGAGAGGAGGGCGGGACGGGAGGTGGGTGCGGGGGTCCTGTTTGGATGTTGGGATTAAACGCAGTTTGTGGTTATTTTTCTCTTTGACGATAGGCCGACCCGTTTTGGGGTGGATTTCGGGATGAGCGTTTGCCGCAAAATACGGCTGGTTTTGTGACCTGGCCTGTTCAAATCAGTTTGCTTTTTACAAGCTTTAGGTGGATCCCAATGTAAAAGAGGTGGTCTGTCCCACTCTATGGGCAACGAACATTTCCCGTCCAATTGTTTGGGCCCTGACTTGTCTCCCTGCCAGCCTGGTGTTGCGTGTTGCCACCCTTGTTGCGGACGGGGAGAGGGGTGGGTTTGGTTGGGCGTGGTCTGCTCCTATCCACTCCGTCAAGTCTGCCTCAGATACTTGGCATGCGATTCTGCATTTGCGTGTGCCTTTCTTGGAGGGTTCCCCTTTTGTATGGTTTTAAAGGGAAACCAAAAGGACAACTACGTTTTGGGGTCCAACCTAAAAACACAACATACACATTTCTCGTTTGCAACATAGTCTTGAACTTTGACCGATGCTCGGGTAGGTGGCGAAGTTCAACAGCCAGCCCGAGCGCTTTCAGCCTGAGCCCTCGGAACGGGTAGGGCGATTTCCGCGGTTTCGTGTTGGGGTCCCCTGATTTGACTCGTTCAGAATTAGTGTCAGGGACACTTGGAGTGCAGCAATAAAACAGATGCCGACAGGTTGCCCAGTGGCAATTTGGCCCCATTGGCAATTGGGCCTGTCTCGGGCTTTGGTTCCCTTTTGGTTTCCCTTTAAGCCATCCATAAAGGGTATGACATGCTCTTTTGTTTAACCACAAAAAGCCAAACCCGCTGGTTTTCATCTCACTCCCTGAGTTCATGGACTTCAAACTTCTTGACAAGACCATTTTCGAGTCTTTTAGAGTGGCAGCCAAACACTTTTCTTTTTTTCTTCGGCTACTTCCACTCAGGAAGCAAGTTATAGAGACAAGACTCCCCACGCCTTCGCCGAAGTCGCCGAAGTCGCCGAAGCGCCCGAGGTGCATGCTGCTGACCACCGCCGTGGGCGGCGTGGGGCTGAACCTCACGGCCGCGGACCGGGTGGTGGTGGTGGACCCGGCGCCTCGGATCAGACAATCCGCCGGCGGCCGGGGGGGGGGGGGGGAAGGGGTCCGCGTTTTTTTTTTTTTAGGACCGCTCTTGTTTTGTTTTGGGGGGGGTATCGGTATCGGGTACCTCTTTGGTTGGTTGTACAGGCAACCCCGCTGTTTGTTTTTCGTCGCTTTTTGTGTTCGGGGTTGTGGAAGGGGAAGGTTGTGGCGATTTGTTTTGGGTTTGGGGAACCCCTGAAGTGGCAGGTAACGCTTACGCTGAAACAGCCCCAGCTGTAACTTTGAACATCCAATCAACCGATGTGGTCATGTTTCTGGATTTGCTACAAGGGCCAGTTTCTGTGATGTTGAGGAACCCCCCGTAAAGCTTAGTTTGAAGGGCAAACCAAAACGAAAGCACTGCCTCTTAGTCTTGGAGCATATTGGTGGTTGCTTTTGTGGATTGAGGTGTGTTGGTTAGCTGATGATACCCTTTTTGAGTGTGGTTTCAGGGGTTTTGTTGTTGCTTGATTATGAGAAGCCAGTTCTTGGAGCATATTGGTGGTTGCTTTTGTGGATTGAGGTGTGTTGGTTAGCTGATGATACCCTTTTTGAGTGTGGTTTCAGGGGTTTTGTTGTTGCTTGATTATGAGAAGCCAGTTGGGCAACAAAAGACCAGACACAGGTTCGGCAAGAAGTGCTTGGCATTTGTGGCAAATTAGGATGCCCATGAAGGTTCCTTTCTTGGCGGGCCCTTGAATCATCCACGATGACTAGGGGCTGATGTCCCATTCTTTTCAACCATCGTTCTTGGAAGGTACCCCTCGAAGATTTTGCATTTTTTTTTTTTTTAAACATTTGTTGGGCGGGTTCACGTTTTGAACCTTCTTCCCCCGCCTCGCTTCTCCACGAGCTTTTCGCCCCTTGGGTGGGTTTCTACGGACTCCCTCTTGAAGGGTGGGGCTCGTTGGGCGCTGATTTTTGCATACTGTGGCTGGACAAAATCCTGCAGGCTTCATTATCCGCTTCTTCCCAGTATCATAGGGTTGCATCCAGCCCAACGGGTGAGTGCAGCATTCTGCCCACAGTATTGTTGCAACTTGGCCTGGCCGTTCCCTCAAGAAGTTTGCTCCATCGTGGGGCTCTCATTTCCTTTTCTTTGTTCGATGCCGAAAAGAAAGCCGGGTAGTGGGTTCTCGTTGGATGTCCAACCTGCAAGAGCCTTGCGCAGAACCGCCGTAGTATCGACCTAGGATTAGTCAGTCTGGTGGATTCATGGGTTTGTGTTTCGCTGAACAGTGATGGACTCCTTATCAATCACGAGGCGTTTATTCAGGAATAACCTTCCAGGTGTTGCGAATGAACCGGAAGCGGATTCCCTTAAAGGACACCATAGGGGAGGATTTTTTCGGGGTCATTCCAACTGATTGCCTGCCCATCGAACCAGCAAGCAATTCGTCCTGGGATTCGCACGCTCCGAGGCGTGGAATCCGGCCACCGACGCGCAGGAAGGGGCATGCCGTGGTGGGGTCGGTGACAGGATTCAATCCTTTAAACGTGTGACAGAGGGATGACATGGAGCTGTGCCTACCTCCCTGCGGAATCCTTCAAGCTAACCAGTGGTTCCTGGCTTCGGGTGTTGATTCGTCCTATTGGGAACCAGAAGCTTTTGAACTAGTATGGTCGCTCCGAAGTCCGGGGCGGATGTCGTTGCCACCACTTGCCAAGTCGGTTTTCCGCTTTGATCACGGAAATAGCTTTAGAGGGGGTACTTCTGCGACAGGCAAGCAGTCCCAGACAGCCGATTCTCCTGCCAGGTGTAGCTTGGGATCACCAAAGCATGCTTGTACTCTTCAAAGATGTTTCCAGAACTCGCCCTGTTGGTGGGATTGACTGGTAAATCGGAGAGCATTCTTTGGTCCTAAACATTCACATGGACCGCAGGCAGTTGATCGTGCCTACCGCATCGGCCAGATGAAGGAGGTGGGGCCAAGTGCGCATTGCACTGGCAAGCCCTCTTTTCGAGTGCGCATGCAAAAAAAATCCGGCCGCGAGCGACAATCATGAGGAGGGGCGGGGAAATCGAGATTTGCAAGCCAGACTGAGGATGGCGGTTGATGGAGAGGCAAATATGTGTGTGTGTGTGTGTGGGTGTGCAAGAGGGAGAGAGAGAGAGACAGAGAGAGGGAGAGGGAGACCGAGGGAGAGAGGGAGAGAGAGCGAGAGAGAAGAGAAGAGAAGAGAAGAGAAGAGAAGAGAAGAGAGCAGCCTTCGTTGAGGCCAGTTCCTCATGGTTTGACCATGGCTCACTGGTTTGAGCACTTCCGCCTCAGGTGCACGTCTACCGCCTCATCATGAGCGGGCTTGTGGAGGACAAGATGTTCCGACTCCAGGCCGGCTGCTTTGGGGCTGCTTTGAGGGATGAGTAGCGACTAGCAACAAGCATCCTAGAAGGATGGTTACCAAAGGGGTTGGAATCCATGACTTTCATATGACTTTGGAAGTTTGCGTCCAGGTAGCCGCCATCCATACCTCTGCAAGCAGCTTTGACACCATACATGTGAGCTTAGATCCACAAATCCTTGTCCGTTCGGTGCACTAACAGACCACCGGCTGAGATTCCAGTCTGCCAAGGCAGTTCGGCTGTCCCATGAGAGCAGACTCCTTGGCATGAAGGATGTGGTAAGCCAACTATACTGGGTTGCCCAGTGGCGCCCCTTTTTCCTTTTTTGGGGAAGGGTTCCCCCTTAAACTCAACGAACCAAAAAAGGATGCGCTTTTTTCCCATGGCAACTGCGCATCTGAGTATATAGTCAAAGGGCACCAAACAGCTTTTCAAGTACCTTGAAGAGCGCCCTTTGATCAATCCATCGGCTTCAATCAACCCTGTTTCATTGGGTGGTCTAGCATGAGAGGGACTGGCCGCAGGTCTAAAAGGGTAGGCCACTTTCTGCGAAACCAAGAGAATTCCTCTTGAAACCTTCGTCATATTAATTGAGCCTACTTGGGTATCACAGGAAAGGGGCACATTTTCCACGTGTCCACCATGCCACCCAGTCCCAAGCTATCCCAGAATGCTTTTTTGTTTAGTTATTTTCTCTTTCAAATGGATGTGTCTTTTTCGAGGGGGACCATTTGTGTTGGGGCGTAGTTCGGGGAACCTCACGGAACAATCAACAAGTTTCGAGGAATTCCAAGAACCCAGGTCTTAGCCTATGCCACAAAGACCAAAGCCGCATTTTTGGGAAGCCATGAACAAAACCAACGCTGCAAAGCCTCGGATCCTCAGCCGATTCCGCCAGGTCTTCAAGATGGGCCTCACCCGCACGGCCTTAGAAGCCGACCAGCAGCACCGCTACTTTACGGCCCTGCCCGGCGCAATTTGCGGACTGTGGGGGCGTTTTTTTTCCGGCCGTTCGGGGGAAGCCAAGGGGGTCTGTTTGTTTGTTTGGTTTTGTTTGGTTTGGTTTGGTTTGGTTGGTTTGTTGTGTCTTGTCTTATTTGTTTGTTTGTATGTGTCTCTGGCCGTTTTGCCCCCTCAGGTGGTGTGGCATGCGGGCTGTTCCAAGACTTGTGGAAACCGGTTGTACGTGCTCGAGGCAATGCTTCGACACGGACACAGGGTGAGCCCCGACCACACCTGGATCTTACGGTAAGTAGCCATCGCGCCAGCCTCAACTATCCTTTCTAGTTTTAGAAGCATTGGGAGAGATGGACCTGTATACTCTTGAACACTCTTGGTCTTGCAGGGACTCAGGGAGGTGCTTGAATGCCAAGCACCAGCGGATGCATCAGATTCGAAGACTGGTCGGTTTGGCATGAACTTTTAAGTTCCTTGTGGTAGTTGTGTCCCACTACTGACTACGAATTAGAATGATGGACCCCCCAAATTTTGATTTTCAGCATGTGTGGTTGCAGCTTTTCAGACCTGGGAAGTTTTCCTCGGCCATCCATGGCCTTGACGCCTGGATTGACACTCAAGACTTGGGCCGTCAAGTTGCATGTCACATGGCAAGCACAAGTTGCCATCGGCCAAAGCCGTCGCTCGCGTTCCTCGCGCGCGCCCTCAGCTGAGTTTTGGTGGCCCGACCCCTGCGCCCTGGCCCGTTCCTCCTCGTGGGGGGCCTGAGCGCGGGAGTTCGAGGGCCTACTCCCAGCGCCATGCGGCCAGAGGCCCCAGAAAGCGCGAGTTTTGGGCGAGCGAGGTGGCGCCCTGCTGGGTGCTTGGGCTCCTTTTGTCTTTCACAACCATGCCCCAAAAGCGCCTAGATCGTGAAACACATAGGCAGGGCAGCCGAAGGGCTTGTTTCAAGTTTTCAGACAACAGAGGAAGGGCAGCCTGCGTTTGGGTTGGGCATGGCGCCAGCCATTGTGGTGCTTTGCCATTCACAGCAAGACAGTCTGACGGGCCGCGCTTGACTAATTCCTGACACGTGGCCAGCGGCTAGAAATCCCAAGCATCTTCCTTTTTCGCGGCCTTGCCCAAAACTGACCTGGCCATGGGGCAGAACCTATGGCTCCATTTTGGATGAACATCCATCCACCTATTTTGATGTTCACCAGGGGTTTCCTGAGTTTTGATTTATCACCGCGCGGTGACGGCATTCATCTGCCGCCTCGCATGTCGCAACCTCCGCCTCGCTTTTGAGAGCCGAGGTTTGGGAAGCTTCTGGCTGCTAGGACGCAAAACAGCCGAGCAAACGAGCCCTACATTTCCTACAAGGCGCGACCGCCTCTCGGCCCGTGTCGCTCTGGTTGCCCACAAAGCCCTGGAGATTGCCGAATCCTTTTGCTGAAGTGGAACAGCCTTGTGAGCAGAACACAGTGCCTTGGTTGGTGGATGCGGATTTGATTTTGTTGTCGCATATTCAGCTTCCCTTAGGTTTGCCTGCTAGGAATATTCAAAAGGGTCGCTGATGTTGCCAACCCCCCATGAATTTAATCATGGATAACTTCAGTTGATGCTGGCTGCATAAATCCAACAGTGTATCCACCAAAGGAATTCACACGGTGATTTTCTTGTAACACGCAAAGAAATTAGTTAGGACTCAGCCGCACGAGCCACAATCCAAACTGCGAGTCTTGTCTTGGTTTCGGGGAGGACATGGGCGGCCACCCAAGTTTCCCACAGGCATGCCACGTAGTTTCCCCTTTTCCTCAAGCAAGACATATCCTCCTAGCCGGATCACGGTGCATGCGTGCATGCGTGCATGCGTTTGCGCAGGAGCTGAAGCACAATCTCAGCAAAGTGTACGAGATTTGCGGCAAGGCCACCATGGAGGGAGAGAATAGTTGATGTGGGTATGGTCAAATTTTTAACCACCAGGAATCGGACCGCAGGATGTAGTCCTCGTTTCCATTTACCAGGGTTCCATTTTGGTACCGTTTTTTTGAGCCACAGCCATGTATGTGTGGCGTTTCCTGAGAGTCACCTTTTCATGGCTTCAATCCTACCATGCACCTGAGCCGCGGGGCGAGGGATGGTTCTCTACTTTAGAGCCCATGTGGACTTGGGAAAGGGGCTCTGCTCTTGGGCTGGACGTTGTCTGGTTGGCAATGGAACGATCCCCTGCATGGCGACATGTTCAGTTCACTTGTGCGGGGAGAATTTGCCAATGATTTATACTGTGGTCGGAGTCTACGACCATCACATTTGTCTCACTGAGTTGGCTTTTCGAGATACTGGTCAAACAACAAGCCTATCTAGCAGCTGTGCCCTGAGCGTCCGTGTTGATCGCCTAGAGTTCTGTGCAGCAGGTGGTTCTTGGATGTATCCTTCTAGAGGAACCCTCCCTGTTGTACTGTACCGTTTCCGTCTGGCGTAGGATGATGACAACTCCAGTGATGATGGCCAGCTGCTCAGCACGCTTGACGCTTTGATCCTTGAGGCCAGACATGGACATGGAATGCCAACATGGGCCAATACGGGTACGAGTCAATTTAAAAACCCGGATTTGTTTGCGGTTTCCCTTTGGTTTCTCTTTAAAGCAACCCCCAAACGGGTACCCTCAACAACCGCTCACCCATCTCATTTCCGACATCGTGTTTGTTCCAATGCTGATTCAGAGCCACGACACGGAGAGCCATGAGGGCACGGGGTGCCCATACATACGGCTACCGTGGGTCTCCCAAGACTGCTCCTGGATCAAGCAACCAGATTCCAAGACTCTGCAGCTTTGCGCACGTGCGGCGCAGCTGCGGACACCGAGGTGAGCCCGAGCCCTGCCTGCAGGACGAAGCAAACTGAGGGTTTGAGGAGGATGCATAGGTGACCTTTTCGTTGGAACTCACCAGCAAATTGGAACATTAGCAGATAGTTTCAGTCAGCGGATTCAGAGCCAACGTGCACCGCAGGTAATCTCAAAAGGGAAAGGGAAGTGCCAATTGGCTGCTGTCTGCTTTCGTGTTTGCGTGAGGGGAGCCCTATACCCGCTGTTTGAGTCTATCATTATTTTGCTGGCCTTCAAACATGGAAGTGGGTGAAAACAAGGGGACTTTCAAAATGGCACATAGTCTTCTAGTTTTCCTTCAAACCAACCTGAAACGACAGCCTCAAACAACACACACACACACATGCGCAAGTGGAGAGTCTATGGGTTTGCGACACTCTCGTCTAAAAGCCCGCAATGTGCCTCGGGTTGGGTGCACCAGTGCAAAGTGGGGCACCAATAGGCAAGCACTGGTTTCTGTCAATCATGGGTTTCTGGTTGGTGAAAAAGGGGTCGAGCTCTTTACTAATCTGTATTACCCCTACAACCATGACTAAATTTGGTCTTAAAGTACCCCAAAACACAATTTTGCTTATGTTGGCTCCTATGTAAGTCCTGTACAATTAAGAACAAACAACGAGCATACATGGGTTCCATATTTTGATTCCTCACAGCGCGAGCGAAGCACCAGGAGGCACCACCGCCCGAGGCTTTGGCCGTGGGTGCCCCAGGAATCGATGGAATCTGGGTCTTTTAGGGGGTTCTCCGCCTTTTCGGTGTGGGAAGCTTCTCCACACTTCTCACGAACATGCTCAGTCTATCCAGATGATGGCTCTCTGCTTATTGACGTCAAGGGCAAGTGAGTTCTGTCAGCAGCAGCACGTTCAGGGCGGCCTGCGCAAGGATTCAACCGCATCACGCTGTCCAAGATAGGAAAGAACACTCGGGTCAAAGCCCGCCCCCTTCCAATGACTTGTGCTTCATGAGAGGTGTGTGCCAGGGTCACCTTGTTTTGCTCAGAGGATGTGCAGCTCGCATCCCATTTGACCCATAGCGACCCGCATCTGATTTCGGGCGCCTCGGGAACTGAGGCGAGTTCCAGCTCGAACCCCCGGATCGTAGGACCACAGGAGGCGCGGGTGGAGGTTGGGTGGGGGGTCAACTCCTCTCGGCCCACGGACACGAGAGGCCCATGGTCCGTCAAGCAACAGGCCCATGAGAAACAGAGTGCGATAAACCAGGACAAAGCTGAGATCTTGAAGCTTCCGGAAAACAAGGAAGGATAAAAAGGCATATTTCTGCATGAGGGAGGCAAGCAAACAAGTGCAAGCTCCCGAAATTGCTGACTTGTGCTTTCACCTTTCCGATCTGGGCATTTTTGTTTGGGAGGGAGGCATGTCCCGTAGTTTGAGATGCAACTCGAGTGGCAGGGTGATCCTAACAGGGGGCCACTTTCTGTGCTAAGGCCCTTGACGTGGATAAATTTATCACATGGGAAGCATGCACGTCGGTATCCAAAGGGTGAACATATCCACCGCCGTTCCCTGCCATTTGGCCATGGGTCAAAACCCAAATTGTATTTTGAATGAACATCCCTATCCAACAACTAAGATAGGTTCTAAAATGGGTGGTGAATTCACCTACCCCAAAATGGGATCCCACAACGGTTTTGACCCATGGCCATTTTCTCAGGACTTCTTCAGCCTGATCGACCGGGACGTGGTGGCCGCCAAGTCCGGGACCTGGGTGACCACCAGGCGGTCCGAAAAGAAATCCACCGAAGCATGAAAGGGGCACAAAAGAGGCTCGCAATGCGATGTTGTTTGCTTTTTTGGGGATCACATGGCACAAAATGAGGCTCATTTCGTTAAATTGCATTACAAGCCCCATCATTCGTGATTTTGTTTGCAATTCTTTGGAGCCCTTAGGGAATGAACACCTGCCGAACAAAGAAAAGGGACATCCCACTCGCTCCCAAATGCATTGAACAAGAGGGGCACACTGAAAGCTCATCCAAATGGATCCCTGTAACTGCAACGGTTTCTTTGTGTCCGTGTTCTATCTACACCGGGCACCACGTAGATTGCAGATTTGTCCAACAAAAAGAAGGCATGCCCGATAGGTTTGTTCGGCGTTTGGGCAAAAGTAGAAGAAACACCCTACATGCAGCATCTTTTGCTGGTGTGCCACGTTACGCAGGGAAAAGTGCCATCTATTTGTGTTTTCCTAGACTACGAATGAAGAGGTTCCACGATTCCAAGCCTTGGTTTCTTTGTCGAGGGGCTTTGGCTAAAAGTGAAGATGGCAATCCAGGACAAATAAACCCGAGGGGTTGGTTTATGGGGATTTCCACTTAGGGGATCTTGGCTCTGCTAGAAAAGCTTCTGCGAATCCACGGAAAGCTGACAAATCGGGTGACGTCGACCTTAAGCACCCCAGCTACAGCA